CCAAATGCACAGCCTCCCCGAGGAGTCCCCTTGGATCAGGAGCCTGCAGGAGAACTCCCTCTGGCCACAGAAGAAGCGAGTCACTGGAGGGCAGATCAGGAGCTGTTGGAAAGATAAGGAACCAGCTCAGAGCAGGCACGAAGCACGTGCCCAGCTCCAAGCTGCCCTCCCTTCAAAGCAGGACAAAGCCAACACAGCCCCTAAAGGGATGTACCTGTTTCTCTGCTCTGTCCAACACGCTGTACAGCAACGGGGGGATCAGGTTCTCCACTGCCTTCCCCACATCCCTGCGGAACGAATCGCTGGCTGGGAGGCAGCTGGGAACACAGAAAGGACATAATACATTTATATTAATAACACTCCTTGCATTTAAAGAGTGATTGATTGCCACAGCTGGACATCATGGGTGATGCTCCCATCCTCGTTCTCTGATCACACGAGGGCAAGGAAGGAGCTCCCACATGATTCATGTGGGATACTCAAGATAAAACACTATCACTACCAGAACACATGAAGATATCAGAAAGAAAGTATTTGATTTTATTCCTGTAATTTTTAATTGCTTTGATGCCAAACTTTGAATTAATTTTATAGCTTTATATTGACATGGCCGATATTTCAGTAGTTCTTCAAATCAATCACAAATTAAATAAAGGGGGGTATTTTTCTGTTGAGTACCTGGCTGGGAGTTTATAGATGAAACTCTGTCCATCCTCTGTCCATACAATCACTTTATCAGCTGCCACAAAGTCCCCACCAGTCCAGGTCTGCTCGTTTTCACTGGGCACTGAACATAAGAGGGAATAATCTCCAGCATCAAAGACCTGAGAGGAAACAAAGTCTGCGGTTATGAACCCATGAATTAAATATTAAAACGCCCAGGCAGCAGCTGGTTTTGGGTTCAGTATCACAGAACCATGGAATGGTTTGAGTTGTTAAAGCCATTTAGGGCCATCTTGTTCCAAACCTCGCCATGGGCAGAGATTTGGGTTCAACATCTAGGAATACATTAAACAGATGCATATTTACACTGAATATTTGTGTATTTCAGTGAAGGGGCACACTGAAGAGACCTGGATTAAGCCATGGGTGTCCCATGAGGTTTATGGGGTTCCTGAGGGAGGGGGCCGTGCCTTACCCGCCAGTACTTGGAGCACACGACGAGCAGCGAGCGCTGCGTGAAGGCGCAGAAGGAGATGCTCTGGCAGTTCTCGCAGTAGATGGGCTTGGACTCCTCCTCAAACACGGGCGTGGTGTCCTGGGGCACACACACACACAGAGCCAGCCCTCAGCCCTCCTGCAGAGCCAGGAACACCCAAACCCTGTGCAGGTTTATTCTGTGCCTCTCCTAAGCAGATCTGCAGAGCACGTGGTGTCCCCCTGCCTTAATCCCCAGGTTCCCCAGATTAGTGCTGCTGACCTTGCAGCCAGGGAAGCACATCCCACTCCCTGTCACTGGGATTTTCCCTCAGCTGATCAATGTATTCTCCATGAAAAAAACCTTGATTTGCCCTTGAGATCTGGGGTAAATCTCCTTTAAGACTTTTATTCATTAGTACCCAGGAAATGGCAAATAACAGGGAGCTGGAGATAATGCCATAGAATGAATATTCCTAAAAATTGTATGGTCTGCTCAGCAAAATATTAACCCAAATTACTACATGGTACAAATAAAAAACAGAGCTGGGAAAATTGGACATAATCCTACACTTCATTTGGAAATCGGTTCTCTGAGAAGCATTAGGAATACTGGAAACCACTAAGGGCAAATTCAGTCAGTAATTTTCCACGGGAATAGGAAAAAGGCCATCAGCAGCAGAATATGAGGGACAGAAGCCTCCATGCCACCAGAAGTGCCTGTGCCTACCTGCATGCGACTGACCTCCGAGGTGATGATCCAGACCTTGAGGATGCCAGTCACGGACACGGCCACCACAGTGTCCTCTGGGAAACACACAGTGAGCCTGGGGCACAGACAGCTCCCCCCTGGCTTCCCAGGGAACCTGGGGCTGCCCCTGCACCCCTGGCAGTGTCACCTTGTGTCCTGTTGGAGCGGATGATGCTCATGGAGCTGATCCAGTCAGGAGAGATCTTGGATATCAGCGAGTAGAGAACCTCCAGGCTGGTTGCATCCACCACCAGGATTTCAGGATAGTGTCCATGGCACAGGAGCCTGCCTTCCCGCTGCGTGCCGACTGTGAACTGATAGAACTGCAGAGACGGCAGCAAACACAGATCAGAATCCATGCAGGGCAGGATTAACCCATCCTGGCCTGAGGGGTGCCCCCAGACCCACCGTGCTGCCTGCAGAGCTCACCTGGATGCCCGTGTGCGCACAGGCCAGCTTGGTGAACTCGATGCACCTCCCGTCGTTCACATCCCACAGGCACATCTCCCTGGAACACAGGGAAAACACCACGTGGAAAACGAGCCCTTCGAACCCTTCGCGCTGGGGGGACTTCACTGGAACCATTTATCAGGGATTAGGTCAGTTGTATTTAGAGAAACTCAAAATCAACTGGATTTTCCAGTCCTCCTAAATCCACACAACCTCCTGCTCCCTGTGAGGATAAATTACAGAACCTGAGCAGCTACCTGCTTCTACCATTCAAGTGCTGCTCTCTGATTAATACATACAACCAATCAAAAAGTAAATGTATTTGCTGAGGAATTTGATCTCAAGGATAAAATTCAAACACAGCATTGAATATATGGATAAACTGGGCACAAGTTCCCATTATTGCACATAATAAACACTGAGAAACTCACCCACTCTCTGATGCACTCACTATATATTGCTTTTCACTGGAAGCTGAGGCCTTGGATAAACAAGTAACTGAGGCTGTATGACCAAAGAGCAGAGCTCTGGGATTGATCTGGGAGCAGGGAAAGAAAACAGGGAGTCAAAATCACACAAATGGCCACAACATCCATACCCCAGCTTCCTACTTCATGTCTTATGTATGCATTCATATGTGCACACACGTTTAATTAACACATCATCGAATGGATCATCTTGGAAGACTTTTGGCTCCACACAGGAATAAGAACTTGGGGGGAAAAAGCATTTTGCAAACTCCTCTCACTATTTACAAATCAAGAGCTGAATTTGGCTCAATTCAATTTAAATTGAGTTTGGCCAAATATAAAAGACTGTGTTGCACATTAAGAGTGTTCCCCATAAATCCATAAGTAAGGGGAGACCTCAGAGCCCCTTGCAGTGCCAAAAGAGGCTCCAAGAGAGCTAGAGAGGGGCTTGGGACAGGGAATAGAGTGCCAGGAAAAGGAGGAATGGGATATCGAGAAGGGACTCCTTTCCACAACACCATATTGAACAGCCCAATTAGCAGGCAATTGGTTTAGAGCAGCTCCAAGAAATTGGAATGAGTGAAACAAGGTGCTGCTCCTGTAGGAAGCCCAAGAGGCAAAGCCCCTCTTTGGAACCCGTGAAAGCGCTGCGGGCAGGGCAGAGCGGCTGCCGAGCATGGGCACAGGGAGCACAGGCCGAGGGAAGGGCAGTGCTGTGAGCAGGGCAGAGCGGCTGCCCGAGCATGGGGACAGGGAGCACAGACCGAGGGAAGGGCAGGGCAGAGCGGCTGCCCGAGCACGGGGACAGGGAGCACAGGCCGAGGGAAGGGCGCTCCGTCACCTGCAGGTCAGGAGCCAGGTCCCAGAGGCAGATCTGCCCGTCGTGGCAGCCGGTGACGATGACGGAGCCATCGACGAGCAGCAGCGAGGACACGCAGTGCGTGGGGGCGCGCCGGCCCCACAGCACGATGGGCAGCACCAGGCTGTTCCCGGCCATGGCCACGGCGCGCCTGCAACGCAACAGCGCCACAGCATCAGCAAGGGCTGCTCCCTGCCCTCAGGGGTCTGCCAGCTTTTCAGCTCACGTTTTTCTGTCTTTACCCCTCATGTTTGTGCCATCTTTTCCCCTCATGTTTCTACTATCCTGTCCCTTCCTGTCTCTGCTGTTCTGTCCCCTCATAGTTCGGGCCCTTTTCCCCTCACGTTCCCTGCTCTTTTTCCCCTCATGTTTCCTGCTCTTTTCCCCTCATGTTTTTGCCATCTTTTCCCCTCATGTTTCCTGCTCTTTTTCCTTCATGTTCCCTGCTCTTTCCCTCTCATGTTTTTGCCATCTTTCCCCCTCATGTTTCCTGATCTTTTCACCTCACATTCCCTGCTCTCTTTCCCTCATGTTTTTGCCATCTTTTCCCCTCACGTTCCCTGCTCTTTTTCCCTCATGTTTTTGCTATCTTTTCCCCTCACATTTCCTACTCTTTTTCCCTCATGTTCCCTGCTCATTTTCCCTCATGTTTTTGCCATCTTTCCCCCTCACATTTCCTACTCTTTTCCCCTCATGTTCCCTGCTCTTTTTCCCTCATGTTTTTGCCATCTTTCCCCCTCAGGTTTCCTGTTATTTTCCCCTCGTGTTTTTGCCATCTTTTTCTCTCATGTTTCCTGCTCTTTTCTCCTCACATTCCGTGCTCTTTTCCCCTCATGTTTCTATTCTTTTTTACTTCATGTTGTCCCTTTCATGTTTCATCTTGTCCCCTCCTGTTTCTGCCATTCTGTCCCCTCATATTTCCCACCCTTTCCCCTTCATGTTTTCTGCTCTTTTTCCCTCATGTTTTTGGCATCTTTTCCCCTCACGTTTTCTGCTCTTTTCCCCTCATGTTTTTGCCATCTTTTCCCCTCATGTTTGTGCCATCTTGTCCCCTCCCATCTCTGCCATTCTGTCCCCTCATGTTTGCCACCATTTTCCCCTCACATTTGGGAGGCCCCAGGATGCAGCAGATGGGGAGCAGCAGAAGGACAGACAGACATGACCCCCCAGGTAGGAGGCAATTTTGCTGTTTATTTACTTTATGAGGGTGTGGGGGGGGAAGGCTGCAGTCTGGCCAAAATCCAAAATATTATCCTTTAAACCAACAGGGAAAGGAGTAAAAATTGGGGGCCGAACAGCACATCCCTGTGCACACAAGGACTTTTGCCCAAATCCCTCTTTCTAGAGTAATTTTGAAGTCACAAATGTTTTAAACCCTGAGGCTGAAGCAGTTTTTGTACCCCTGATGTTGTTATGTCCCTGTTGGAATATGGAATATCCTGCCTTAGGTGAAATCAACCTTGTATAATACACTGGATGCTGGCCATTCTCCAGCAGGAAATGGGTCCAGCACTATCTTTACAGCAACATTTCAGATATTCTGAACATATTGACACCAAAAACACAGTGGAATTTCAGTTGTCCCTGGGCCAAAACGATCTCAATGACTGGGAATAGCAACTCAAGTTGTGGCAATAAAACCCACTTGAGTTTGCACAAGATTTAAACCCCACAACAACCCTCTGTTTGTGGTAGCAACATTCCCAGCCTGCCCATGCTGTTAGAATGGAGGTTTTCTTATCGGTGAAAAGGTCCTGTTAAATTAATAACCAAACACTCTTTGTGGATTATCTTGTGGAGGTTTATGCTCTGAACTCACCCCGGCTCAAAGCAGAGCTCTGATTTAGAGGAGGATGAAATATGTGGGGTTTTTGTGGGGTTTTTATAGCTATATATACGTGGAGTTTTCACGGGTCTGTAAACCTGTTTCACAGCACTTCAGAGGGGATCAATCTGAGTTATGACAGCAAAACTGGGGGTCACTCTGAGCTGCACAAGCTGTGCCATTCCAGCAGGAATGCCTGTCATTTCTCACGCGTGTAAAAGCTGTGACTCGGTGTGATGAGCGCTGCCGCCCTGCGCAAGCAGGGAGCCGGAATGTGACTGTGTCCGTGGAAAAAAGGGGGAAGGGAGCGAGCGAGGGCAGGGCAATGAATGGCTAAGGATTACACGTGGCTCTCAGGAGGCTCCTGGCAGGGCAGGGATCAACTCTGGCGTTTCCACAAAATCACCAAATCACTGAGATCGCATCAAATCACCCTTCCCAGGCAGGCAGCTCATTTCGGGCAGCCCACTGGCCCCTCTTCATCAAAAGCTATTAAATTAAAGCTCGATTGTAATGGTCAGGATCAATAAAGAGCAAAAATCCAGGCTTTCTGCACACTGCAAAGCACACCTGGCCCTGCAGAGTTAATTGTTATGCAATGCTGGATCAATTGCTCTGTCTGGACCATCACAACACAGCAAGAGAAATTAATGCAGCATTTTAAACAACATTTTAAACAAACCAAGAGCTACAATTAAAGCAGGCTCATTTGCAGGGAAATCATCATAAAAATGGAATAAAAGCAGGAATAAAGTGTCCAGATGCAACAGACCAAAATGCAAATATCAACAACAAGAACAAAACCGCCCACACAAACATGAATACCCACTCAATTTTTGTGAGGAAACAAACCAGAAACGACTAAAGCAGAGCTGAAAAACACCAATGAGCAACACAAAAATCCCTTCCCACCACTCCCAGTTCAGGGAACAAGTCACAGTGTTCCTGTGTCACAGGGCTGTCCAGAACAGCTGCATTTTTCAATAACTACAGAAAGTCCCCTGCTAGGGGCCAGCATTGCTGCTTGAGATCATGTATTTAACAATTCTGCATTTAGAGCCACTTCTGAGCACTTCCTACCCATCCCACTCTGAATAAAGGGAATTTTCAAAAGGAACATACAGGAGGGTATCACAACACACAAGAGCACTAGCACACAACAAACCCTAATGGATTTGGGATTTTCCATGCAGAAACCACATTATCAACCCCCTGACAGTCCCATTTCAAGCCCAGGTCTCAGAGGATTTCACAGCAAGGCTGTGGGAGAGAGAGGAAAAACAAAAACTACCTCTTTCCTTCTAGTTTGTGACCGTGGCAGCGCAAGGCCTTCATAAAAAACTTCCTTTTCAGGAAAAGCCACATCCTGATTGCCCAGGAATTTGGGTTCCAGAGCTCAGCCCCAGCATGCACCAAGTGCAGCCCCTGGCAGCACCAAAATGCCTTTTTGTCGGAAAACAATCAATAATTCCATTTTTTGACATCAGTGATGACAAAGTGCAGGAGCAAATCAGCACTGTCCCAGCGCCAAAGGGGCCCAAAAGCAAAAAAAAAAAAAGGGAACTTGGAAACACAAAATGGAGATGCCACGAGTACAATTCCTCCTGTGTCTCCGTGGGGTAAATTGGTGTCTATCCATGAGCACCAAAATCCTGGTTTTCCTCCCAGAACACAATGGAGCAGATTATTGTTATTCCACGTACACAGGGATATACCCACATCATCCTTGTATTTATTTCCTTCCCCTGAAATTTTCTCACATAAAACCTCGCATATAATAATAAATAAATAATATAGAAATAATTGTACTTTTAGTCATACAGCAAACGCAGGGATGTGGGAAACACATAACAATATTGTACAATTAACAGAACAAATGCAGGGATGTGGTAAAAAACCCTCCCAAAAATAGGATTTTTAAATTATTTTAACAGAAAGCAATTATTTAAATGAGGAAATGAACAAAAAAGAATGTTAACTAATGTGTGATTCTTTGAACTGCTGTGCTTGAAGGTGGGACTTAGGCCCATTTAATCCCGGATCAGTTCCTATTTCAGTAAAGCCACTAAACTGATTTTTCAAGTACAAGGAGTGAAACACTGAATCCAAGACTCCAACCCTTTCCAAGCTGTCTACCCAGAAATCCACACTGTGGATTTTTACAGAAAAGCCCCCAAACAAAACAAACCCATGGGAGGAAGAGGTAAAGCAAAAGTAACCCTGCCTCTGTTACACCAGAGCAGCTCTTCCCAAACATTTGCATTTCCACCGAGGAAAGAATTAATCACAGGATTTGTGTGCAGTAATCTGCCCCCAAAATACGAATAAATAGCACTGAACAGTGTTAAATAGTATAACATAGCTATGAATGGGCTGTTTATGCATTTTGGGAAAATCTAATGATTTTAAATTTAATGACGGGTTAGACTTTCTAATTGTTACTTAGGGATGGAGAGGGAGAATACAATGAGAACACCTTCCCTGGGTATGCAGGAGCTTCCAAACCCAGAGAGAGAACAAAACACTAATTTGGGGCATGAGAGTGGAGTTAATTAACACCTTGGGAAGGCTCTTGCAGGTTTTCCCGGTGCTTAATTTGATGGCACACTGAAGCCACTGTAATTTTTCCTGTTTCGAACTGTCACCAAGGACAGTTATCCAAAGCAGCTGGAGCACCCCAAATCCCATCCATCCCTGGGTGCCAAGAGCACCGCGTCTGGCACGGGAAAGGGAAATAAACCCGGGCAAGGCTGCGAGGTAGCAAAAAATCGGCATTAAAAGGCATTTAACCCCCCCAGAGAATCCATTCCTGCCAGGAGCCTCTCCGTTAGCAGCGATGGAAACCTCCATCCATCCATTAATAACCCGGTGCTCGCTTTGAGGTGAGCCCTGACGGAATCCCAAAGCCCATCGTGCTC